TTTTTGAGGAGCTGTGAGGAGCTGCTTCTCGTCCCAGCGCGCCTCCAGTATTCCGCCGTTACTCAAAGTACTCCAGTCCATTTATTTAAATCAAATAATTCCCACCTAATTAGTTAAAGTTGGTGCACGTTTATAAACCGAATTATTTCGGTCTAATTGTTTAACCAGTATTTTGCACGGTCAAACATCAAACATCAAATCAAATACTAAACCGAATTGTTTCGACACAACTATTCAAAAGCAGTATTATGCTATTTCAAACACCAAATGTTATGTTTCAAATATATCAGTTCAAACGTTTTAGTTCAGTCACACTCATTCATCACTTTTCATTTCATGTTTTCGATTGTCACTGACGGGTTATATGGTTTGAGTAACCACAAATCCAACATTTATTCCCAAATTATACCGTTTGAACAGCCACAAACGTCTTTTGATTCCCAATTTGTTTTCTATCAAGGTATACAGGTTTATCATTCACACTTTCATGCATACGACAACACTCGCACTGTTTAACTTTTTATAGTACCTCCTATGGGTGTCTTTTGTTAACGTTTGTACAATTTAAACCTTATTTCCTATTTGTAATTCTCATTATTTACTGTTTTAAAATATTATTTGTATTCACAGCCAAAAATGGTACACAGTTAAGCGTAGTATACAATTATCACACAGCAAAAATAGTACACAGTTATCGCCCTCACTCACAATACACAGTCATAATCCTATCATACAGTCAAATATGTCACACAGTCATAAATGACACACTTATATTCCACACACAATCTATTTGGGCACACAGCCTCTTCTACTATCTTTAAAAAATACTCTGCTGAACCTAGCCATATCCTCGAAGTTATGGACCTTGCCAGTCGCTAGTATTTATCTAAAATGTCCCGAACCTAGCCGTATCTCAGTTACGGACCTTGCCGGTGTAATTCCTCGAACCTTAGTCGTACTGTCGTAGTTACGAACCTTGCCGATAGCAATTACTTAAACCAATTATTCCCTATATCTTCCGAACCTTAGCCGTATTGTCGCAATTACGGACCTTGCCGGTAGATGTCAGTATTGTCTCCTGAACCTAGCCGTATCTTAACGGACCTTGCCGGTAGAACCAACACTCTCTGGTACCATGGTTTTAAACATCACATTTAGCAAAGGTTTGCATGTCACAATATTGTGCTTATCTACTCATAATAGTTTCATAATTTAGTTCACTTACATCAGACAGGTGTTTCACAAAATTAATTTGGATAAAGCCAATGTGCAGATCTTCAGTTATTTAACAATAGGTATCTGCTTACCTTTTTAGAAGCCCGGGCAGTTTGTGAAACATACGGTTCGATGAAAGAGGTGACCAAATGTGCCAGACATTACCCAGCGAAGTCCCTTCTACCAGATCACGTCGGGGTCACCAATTGTCAAAGTCGCGTCAATTCAAATCTGATATTAGGAACAAAAGAGGTCAACACGACTTCTAAGATATACTAGTTATTTTAATTAATGCAAAAACCTTCAATGGTAAATATGATGTTTCGTATATACGGGCTCTCTGAGATGCCTCGCAGGACACCCCAGAGAACTAAAAGACATTGTTCCAGATCCAATACTCAAATACTCTGACAGAGGGAATTTCCCACTTCTCTGCTGGCCAATTAGAGTAGAGGCTTGAGCGTGGTTTAAACTTTACTCAGCCAATCCGTTGTTTCAGGGGTTGGTCCCATCTCCTCGGCGCCATTTGTTGCACACTTCAGCCAGGCACAAGTTTATCATAGCAACCTGTCATAGTGAGAAGAGCCAGCTCCCTTAGACATAATTCCTACGTCCAAGGAAGGTTCACAGATCACAAAGAACCAGTATAGTCTAGCATTTGAAGACACAATCCTTATCTCATTTTACCCCCTAAAACAGCTCTTCACATCAATCACAGCCTTGCCAGGTGTCACAACCTACATTAGCCCAGTCAAGAATGCATTCTTTCTAAGTTAGTCATCCCATCAATTTAGGAGAATAATAAATCCCCAATAGTTTGTTGAGTAAGGATGCATATGTGGGAGACCCGTTTGAGGTGTCGAAAATGGTGAAGTATGCGCTGAGAAAAGATTGACCAGTAGTGGTGTTATTTTGATTAATTGTATTTCTGAAGAACAGAGGAAGATTGCAGCGAGCCTCAAAAGAATCCGAACAACAGAAGTTTTGTGTTTTGAACTTCGGAGTAGAGCGCCTGTCAAAGGAGTCATCTCAGGGGTGACAACGGATGTTCAGGTTGAATACCTTTAGAGAATTCCTGGTGTGGTTGGTGCCCGGCATCTGACCCTCTGGGTGAATGGAGAAAAATAAGTAAGTAAGGGTGAAGTGACATGAGAGAACTAGGGAAGGTTGAACACCAGACGGGCTGCAGCGTTCTGGATAAGTTGCAGGGGTTTAATGGCACAGGCAGGGAGCCTAGCCAACAGCAAGTTGCAGTAATCCAGACGGGAGATGACAAGTGTATTAAAAAGGTGGATTTTGTGGCGTTCATTGCCACAGTTATAAACTGTACGGCACAAGTCTTAAAGAAGTCAAAAAAACTGGACATTATTGTGGCTGCAGCATAAAAGTTTTTGGGACTTCAGGATTTTACATCTGAAGACTTGTAAGGGGTACTGGCGCCGGAAGACCAGTCCTCCCAGGTTCCCCTTGAGCCTGTGTAGGGATCAGATCTGTTTTATTTTTTTACAGAAAAGTTGTTTGATTTAGTTTAGTAATTTATTAATTTTTTGGTAGTTTTTTGGTAGTTTGTTCCGTTTTTGGGAATCCTGCTTCCATCCTGCACAGTAGGTGGCGGCATGTACATTAAATTGTGCGATCGCCAATATACCATAGAAAAAGTAGATCAGGCGGTGGAGCAATCACTCATATTAATGTACTTCTCATTGTACCACCTTACCGCGCTTAAATCTCTGAAAATGTGAAGGGAGGCAGAGTGATTGAGGCCAAAAGGTTGATCAGTAGGAAAGAGGGTCAAAGAAGTGAAAGCTTATCAGTGATGCTGAAGTTTGAGAAAGTCTTGCCGGGAAAAGTACAGATAGGATTCCTTAGTTTCCGGGAAAAGTACAGATAGGATTCCTTAGTTTCAATGTTAGAGAATTTGTCCCATATGCACTGCGGTGTTTTAAATGCCAAAGAATGGGACATGTAGCTGTTCAGTGTAAAGGAAAGAAAAGATGTGCGAAGTGTGTAGGGGCACATGATTACGGTGAATGTGGAAGCAATGTGAAGGTTAAGTGCTGTAATTGTGGGGGAGAACACAGTGCAGCAGGTACAGAAAGAGGCTCAGAGATATAGGATCAGTCATGATGTATCGTATGCAGAGGCCGTAAAACAAGTTGGTAGAACTACAGTGCGGACTGATGGAGTTTACATGGATGTACCTGTAGTTAAGTGGACCTACTGTCGGGGCTGGTGCTTCTGATGGTCCTGGCATGGTTTCGAGGCCTGTTCAGAAATCTTGTGCCCATGAATGTGCGGCCCATGAATGTGCGGCGTCAAAGGACACTTTGATAATGAATAAAGTTGACTTTATAGCTTTTATTGGTAAGGTTATCAATACGACTCAGGTTGTGGCAAGCAGAAATGTCAGGTTGAAAGTTATTGTGGAGACTGCAAAAGAGATATTGGGGTAACAGATGTTACTGTTGAAATGGTTGTTGACTTGCTGAACAATTTGGGGAGGGTGTGGTAGAAGTTAGGATTTATTTGGTTTGAATTTTATTTTCATGGTAGTACAGAATTGGTCATGATTGATCGTACATTCCAGCACAGTAGGTGGCGGCATGCACGTAAACGATTGTTTGCGGACCTCCATGATATCATAGAAGAAGAGGATGATGATGATGATGATGAGGCGGTGTTGCATTCCGGAACAATTATCCTGTGGGACATTGTTTAGATCGTGACGTGGTTGGAGTGGCTAGAAAGAAACAAAATTAGTGAGCGATTTGTAGTTATGAACTAATTCAGTTGGTATTTTATTGTCAACATTTGTCAAACAGTGCAGTGCAGTTTTATCTGGTAAGTAAGTACGACAAATTAACTTTAGCCAACTCCGTCGTCGAAAGAACATCAGTTGTTGTGTTAACGTTAGCTAGATCTTATCTTAACAGTATGAAGTGAAGAGAGGTCGCATTTAGATTAATCCACTGTGAAGTTGATCCTCATCTTGACAGCGAACTAAAATAAATAATTTAGCTAGCTAGCAATCGGCGCGAGCTAGCTAGCTAACCAGCTATATTGATGAAGACATTATATGGCGAAAACGGAGCATGTGGACTATTTAAAGATATGAATAACTAACCCTTGTTCCTTGTTCTATCTGTGATTCTATCGTGGTAATGTTAGCTAGTTTAGCACTCGTTTAGATTGTAGAATGTGTGGCACTGTGTGTAGTAGGCTATCTTACAGAACGTGTCCTTTGTGGCTATACGGTTGGTTTGGCTCATGTGATTTGAATTGTTTCCCTTTCTTGACAGGCAGGCATTGAGACCTCTTGGCTTTGTGGTTGACTTGAGGCTTCTGCGCAGGGATACGCCTATCATCCCTAGCCCTGTGACTGTCTCTGTCCCTGCATCATCATGAAGCTGTACAGCCTCAGCGTCCTCCACAAAGGAGCGACTAAATCCAACCTCCTTAAATCTGCCTATGACCTCTCCTCCTTCAGCTTCTTCCAGCGCTCCAGGTGGGTCTTCCTCTTGGCACCTGGGAGCATCTCAATAGTCTAAAGGGAATTCCTTCCCTCCATCTCCACTGATCTGAAGACAGGATATATGAAAGCGATGGACTCCGACTGGGCATATTCTGTCACCTGTCCAGTTCTTGTACATCAGTGCAGATGAAGGAGAAGATGATGCCCCTGTCAATAATAGTAGCCTATCTTAAACCTGTCATGTGTTTACAGACTTCATTAGAATTGACAAGAACACCAACACTGTTTTCACCATTGTCTGTGTGTTTGGCAGTGTCCAAGAGTTCATGACCTTCACCAGCGCCTTGATTGTGGAGCGTTCTGCACACGGCAGCCGAGCCTCAGTCAAAGAGCAAGGTGAAGTCCTGACCTGGGCCATAACATATGGGGGGTGTTCTGATTTGTTATTGGAGGTCATTCCTATAATTACTACCCTCCTCCCTCCAGAGTACCTGTGCCACGTGTATGTGAGGAATGACAGTCTGAGTGCAGTGGTGATAGCAGACAGCGAGTACCCCCAAAGGGTCGCCTTCACACTACTAGACAAGGTGGGTAGAGATGATGTGCAGAGTGATACTTTATCCCCTTAGCAACAAGTGGAGAATATTACTCTCTGGTCTGGGTCTTGTGCGTCTCAAGGTTTCTTCCAGAGTTATTGCTCCTCACCAGGCCCTTTCAGCTTTCTGTTTCAGCATTTAATGCAGGGGTTCTTAAAATTTGTCCTCCAAATTAAGAAGAAATGGTGTATGATTATAGATGTATTCTCATAATTCGCAACCCACCTCTCACATGAGCAGGACCCACTTTGGGTCTCGACCCATAGTTTAAGAAATCCTGATTTAATGGTTTGATGTTTGATCATGCAGGTGCTAGAGGAGTTCTCCAGACAAGTGGACAGCATAGACTGGCCATCTGGAAACCCCGAAACCATCAACTACAAAGCTCTGGACATCCACCTGGCCAAGTACCAGGTACACATGGCATCCTGTCTCTAAAATGACACATAACAAACATTACACATACAATTAAATAACATTGAAGAACACTTGAATATCCAAGCCTACTTTGACTCATGTTTCTTCTTGGATGATTGTGATAGTTTGAGAGTCTGTGTTTTCTCCTCAGAACCCCAGAGAGGCAGATGCTATGACCAAAGTGCAGGCTGAACTGGACGAGACAAAGATCATTCTGGTGAGTCTCTTCAGTCGACACTCCCTGACACAACCACATCTCTGAGAACCTCTCACATAATGGGCAAACTTGAGATAAACTCATATAATTGCCTTTAGCGTAAATCAACTGTTTATGTCAGTTGGCGATTTGTGTGAAAAACTGGCTCTGCTCTAGATTCTCAACCTTACTTTCTTTTGCTATGGACTCTTAACATGATTTTCCCCATATAGGAAGCTGGAACTTGCACTACATTTACATTTACATTTTAGTCATTTAGTAGACGCTCTTATCCAGAGCGACTTACAGGAGCAATTAGGGTTAAGTGCCTTGCTCAAGGGCACATTTACGTCATTTAGCAGACGCTCTTATCCAGAGCGACTTACAAATTGGTGCATTCACCCTTTAGCCAGTGGGATAACCACTTTCCAATTTTTTTTATTATTTTTTTATTACCTTATTTTTAATTATTATTTCATTTTTTTTTTCTTTATTTTTATTTCTTTATTTTTTTTTATTTTTTTTTTGGGGGGGGGGGGGGTAGAAGGATTACTTTATCCTATCCCAGGTATTCCTTAAATTTTTTTTTTTTTTTTTGGGGGGGGGTAGAAGGATTACTTTATCCTATCCCAGGTATTCCACTACTGCATGTCTAACACTGCTAGTGCCTGTGGTTGGTGTGATGCTGTATATGAAGTGGGCTGTGGTGTGATTGTCTCTGCAGCACAGCACCATGGAGTCTCTGTTGGAAAGAGGGGAGAAGCTGGATGATCTGGTGCAGAAGTCTGAACACCTGGGGAACCAGTCTAAAGCATTTTATAAGACTGTAAGTACTGTAGTGACTCTAGACTGAGCTCTCCAGTTCAAATTATCACGGCATCTTAGATTCAACTTGGGCTACTTTTAACGCAACTTTCATTTGCAAGGCTTTATAAAAACGGAGTGGCTGCTGACCCGACTTCTCCTCTTGACAGCCAAAGGTCTGAAGCTTCTGCATATGTGAAGGATTCTCTACTTTACGCACAGTCTCTACTCTACTCGTTCGGCAGCTCAGAGAACAGGCTACTCTGGCGAATGGTGCTCTTTTAATAGTTAGATCGAAGCTGAATCAATGTCTGCAAGATCACATAATGATAGTATCCTACATAACAGAACTGAATATAATGGCGTAATATAATGTTACTGTAACACCACCTAATTTCTGGAGATTTTAGGATGATTGTGCGGACCGTTGCGTTTTTCTCTCGTGGCCAAAAACTCAACAGCGCGTGCCACTTGGCAAAATATGTGCTTTGATTGAAACTAAACACAGGTATTCTACAGTTTAACACCATCTGCTCTAATATTCGCTCACTGTACATCATTCAAAACAACAATGTAGAACTGAAGAAGATCGAAATGCATTTCCCCAGGAAACTGATTGAGATCAAATGGTTGGCGTGCAGATGCTGCATGGATGTTTCACCTGTAAAACTTAAAGAATTAGAATTCCCGATTGACAGTCAGAAATGTGAAGGGAGGGTGAACACAAATTTGTGCATAAAGAAACATGTGCAGAATATCATTGGGATCTTCAGCTCTGATGAAAAGGGATCGGGGGGGGGGGGGGGGGGATTACTTACGGATCTGCAGCCTATGCCTTTTTAAAACTCTTCATCACAGAGGTAACCTCCTCAGTGTGATTGATATAGTTGATTATAGTAATTGCTAATCAATCACTTTCTGTGTTTTCTATCCCACAGGCACGGAAGCAGAACTCATGCTGTGAGGTCATGTAGTGATGGTGAACCGTCCTCTTGGACACTTCTCTCTTGGCCTTTCTGCTCATCCTACAACTCCCATCATGCCCCAGCCTCCAGGAGACAGAATGGCTTCCGCTCAGTCTTTGGCAGAGGGGTGAGGGGAGGTCTAGGGGTGGGAGGGGGGGTTGGCAGTTTAGATCTCGGGAATCTACATGCTGATTGGGGGGGCAGGTTAGTCAGGAAAAAAATATTATATTTATTTGCTTCATTGTAACCTCTCAAAAGGCATTTTGAGGTGATTCATAGCCAGCCAGGACGTGGTCAATAATCAATAACGTGTTGTTTGTATCTTTGGTGGTTTGTTCATTGAAAAAAGTCTTAAACTGTTTCCTGAATTCAGACTGTATCAGAATCTTAGTCTGAGTTTGATCTCAGCTTTCTGGAAGGTTTGGAAGAGGAGAGATTAAGTTCTCATGCTTGGCTTTAAATCAACCCTGACAATCTCTCTGTGTTCTATGTAGTAACTCACAGCTAAGGTAAACAGAGACTTCTGGAACCCAGGATCTGCTAGTGTTTTCGTAAAAGGTCATGTAGTGTTATCTTATTTTCTCTGCCCACTAAATGGTGCTGTTTCCTCACATTCGTAGTTCAGGTATATTCAGTTACGTATTTAAAGGGCCTCTTTAGCCTGGAGGAATTATATTCAATGAAATGTGATTTGGGTGAGCAGTGGATGTTTGTGTAACTGGGTCTGAGACATCAGAACTGCATGATCTAATTGCTCATTTCCACAGGATGGTTTAGGGTAGTGATTTAATTGGATGAAATCCTATTAAATCATGTTGTTTTTTGGTGGAGGCATGTGAAAACTTTGAAACATTTCCAGGTTTTTTAAATACAAAAACTGGATTGGTATTGTAGCTCATGCGGATGGGCTTGTTAAACTAAATGGGGTAGCCTGTACTTAGAAAGCAGTGTGTAGTGATGTCTACAGACTCGTCTTGATAGACAAAGCCTTATTGAAGTATGGGTTACATTGAAGTCCCGCTGTGTATGTGGTAGGAAAGGCAGGTCTTGCAGTGTCCTGCTGGAGTTGCTCCCAGACTTTTTTTGCGCTATAATCCCTCCCAATCTTTTTTTATTTTGTGTTGCACCAAGTAGGCTAAACAAACCAGTGTTTCTAGTCTGGACCAATGATGTATATAAACCCTGGATTGCTGACGCTATGTATTGGCTATTGAGAGGCTTTGAAGCCACCGGTCGGCCATATTGACTCTCCCCTGTAGGAGCAGTCCTCCTTAGGAATTAATGAAATTCTACAGTATTTCAATTACATTTTTCAAGGACAAAGTTACATGTATTTAAGTATTTTTTCGTTGTTGTAACCATTAGTCATCTAAAAAAAAAAGATATACTTAAAGGAAAATGTTTTTATTTTTTAAAATATTGTTTTTTTTAATGTTTAGCTCACATAATATAATTATACATTAAGGTGTCTGTAATAGAATAAATGTGGCAAAAACGAATGTAGACATTAATAAAGGCATTTCTATAGATTCCAAAATATTTTTTACAGTGGTAGGGGAGTGCCAAGATGGAGGCACGGTGGCGTCAACACAGCGCCCCCTATTAGTCATCTAGTGTTTATATAAATCATTAGTCTGGACCCAGTCTTAAGACATGGCTCTCACAATGAATCAGCCATCTCCCACCCACCAATGGGTTCTGATCATAGAGATAGATATAGGACTCATCTTTATAGCTGTGCCATTATAGCGTCTGTGACAGCATGGGCAGCTCCATTGAGGCTACAACCCGTAGGAATCCCCACCCAGTTGACTACTTTAAAATGGCAGAAGCCCTCAATGGCACTGCCAATGCTAAAACTGCATTTTGGCCACTAGAGGCCCCTGTCATTCTCTATGGTTCTGATCCACCATAAGAGCCATTAATACTTAACCCGAAAATGTGGTCGGAGACTCCGTATGGAGGGTGTGACGCAATTGCAGAGCCTCCGGAGGCACGCTGAGGCCAAATTGAGCTCCGTAACGCATCGCTGTGCGCCTCACACATGTTTTTAACAATGCGGAGGGCTCTGTATAGCTCCGCATTGGCATGATTGGTTGATGGTAGGTGGGGGCGGATGTTCCTGTATAAACACAAACTCACTTCCTTCACAACAGCTCTGCGAAGCGCAAGAAGTATGAATGGCCTGACTTCTGCAGAGGCCATATCACCGTAAATGCTAGACGGCCATTGCAGATATCAGATTGACCACGCAGCACCTTTTAATGTGACCTACTGCATCTTATGGCTGCAGCTCTGCCCCCTGTTGGCAGTGTGAACATACTAAAGCTGGACTGGTCTTTTTATTTATTTTTGAGTGATGATGACATTGACAGCAGATGTTGGGTAGTTTATTTCACTGTTGGAACAATGAAGTTACCACCTGGGATTATTATTCCATCGGGAGCAATGCTTCTAACATTGCATGTAGAAATATGAACCGTATAGAACAGACACGATTCCCCTTTCAGCATAACACTTAATCAGGTGTTCTACACAAACATTTCTATCAAAGCATTCTGTTTAATTTAACTGACTCAGCTTTGTGTGAAAAACACACTCCTCACAGGCCAACATCCCAGAAAGCACTCCTTATAATCAGTATCGTAACATACTCATTTGGCTTTGGATGGTTTTTCATTGTGTTCCCAGACCCCAGAGGACGAGTTGTTGAACAATGTGAGACAGAAAGAGGTCTTTGATCTTTTAGATGTAGTATATCTTGCTGCTTTATTTTTTGTCTATGACCTTTATGTGTGCAAATACATAATTAGTCTGACCTGAACTGCTCTTATTGCTTTATGGCACAACTTCTGTGCAAAAAGTAGGCTGACTAATCTCTCCATATAATGTTGGATCTTGAAACCTGTTTCTCAGTTGAGTGGGACAAACCGATAGTTAACTTGATACCAGTGTTTCCAACGAAGGACTCTTTGATCAACTCCCCAAGTAAAGTAAGCAAAGGGTGAACAAAAACATTTGCTCAATAGGAGCTCTGAGGAATGTTGTTCTGTAAACATTTTCAAGTTGTGTTGAAAACCAAAATACAGTTACAAGAGCTATTTAGTCATTTCTCCAGTTTAAATATCATGTCTTAATTGGGAGAAAGTCTGTAATTTATTTTGTTAAATAGCACATAATGGAATTGGAAGCAAACATTGAAGGTGTTGTATTAGTCCCCTGTAGCTCAGTTGGTAGAGCATGGCGCTTGCAACGCCAGGGTTGTGGGTTCGTTTCCCACGGGGGGCCAGTATGAAAATATAAGCACTCACTAACTGTAAGTCGCTCTGGATAAGAGCGTCTGCTAAATGACTAAAATGTAAATGTTGTATTAACAGCTATTTTGGACATTTATTTAGCTAAAACACTGTTTACACAAGTTGTAATCTTGCCTAGATAAAATACAAAATGCCTTGAACAGATGTGTCCTGCTTTTTATTGTTTTAAAATGTAGCGTTATAACCAACCCCTGGGAACCATTTTGTAATAAACCAATCAAACCAGCTAGGCAAGATATAACAACCAATAGTAATGGTAATCATCTATGTGTGAAATGATACATTTTACATGGTCCACTTTTGAACAATAGCATATTCAGTATATGGATAGGCAGTGGTGTAAAGTGCTTAAGTAAAAATACTTTAATGTACTACTTAAGTAGTTTTTTTGGGTATCTGTACTTTACTATTTATATTTTTGACAACTTTTTCTTTACTACATTCCTAAAGAAAATAATGTACTTGTTACTCCATACGTTTTCCGTGACACCCAAAAGTACTCGTTACATTTTGAATGCTTTGCAGGACAGGAAAATTGTCAATTCACGCACTTATCAAGAGAACATATATGGTCATCCCTACTGCCTCTGATCTGGCGGACTCACTAAACACACATGCTTCGTTTGTAAATTATGTCTGTGTGTTGGAGTGTGCCCCTGCTATCTGTAAATGTTTATAAAAATACAAGAAAAGGGTGCAGCCTGGTTTGCATAATATAAGGAATTTGAAATGGCTTA